AGCAAGTTACATTGTCTCTGTCCTTCCTACCACTGTACAGTGAGTTTTTATGAAAGTCCATGGTGAGGGGAAATTTTGCTTGAATACCTCTGTAGTTAGATCATTACAAGGTCCTGAGGGATATTATGTTAAGTGAAATAAGCCAGGCACAAAAAGATAAAGACCTCATGTTCTCACGCATATGCAGAAGCCAAAAACATTGATGTAATGAAGGTAGAGAGAAGGATAGTGGTTATTAGGTGGGAGGGCAGACAGGGAGAGGTTGGTTAACAGATACAAAATCACAGCTAGTTAGGAGTCAATGCTAGTGTTCTATAGCACTGTAGCGTGGTGATAGTTAACAATTTATTGTGTATTTTCAAATAGCTAGAAGAGGGAATTTTGAATGCTTTTAACACAAATGATAAACATTTGAGATGACAGATTTGCCAATATACTCTGATTTGATCATTACACATTGTACACATGTACCAAAATATCACACCATACCCCATGTAAAATGGTTATGTGTCCATTAAAAATTTTTAAAAAACAGCTGAAAAAAAAAGCTCTCCCTGTTGAGCTTGCCAGTAGGGGGAAATGAAGGGTAAGATAGATTCATTCATTCTGTAGCTTTTTCGTAAGGGTGCCCTGTGTTCGGTGCACTGTTAGGGTGCTGGGGATACAGGGAGGAGTAAAATAGTGTGATTCTTCTGGAGCTGACAGTCTAGTGTCAGGACGGTGGCAAGCACAGAAACCCTCGGCAGAGAAGGCAACGTGTAGGCTGTGTCCTTAACGGTGGAGGAGACAGAGGGGACACGGCATTCCAGGCCGAGGACCTGGAAAAGGCCTGAAGCTTAGGAAGGGGCTGGTACCTCCAGAGACTGGGGAGGGAGCCCCATGGGTGGCTTTGGTTGGGGGTTCCTTAAGTACTCCCTTCACTTTCTTTACTGTTTCCTTCCTCCCCCAACCTTTCTTCCCGAGAGGGCTGGAAGCTCTCATCTTGGACAGGCTACGGTAGGTCCTTTTGCCTCCTCTAGTACTCCTTCTTCTAATCAGAATTTCTGATGGGACAGTGTGCTTCTGGAATATATTGTTTTTATTAATAAAAGAACTAATGAATTTTGGCCATAAGCTATCCAGGGATGCACTCGTGGGCAAAGCTTGTATGTATTCGAGGAGTTTGGCCAGCAGTGTGGTTTTAAGGTGACCCTATTTATAGAATTAAGCTCCTAAATGAATGCATCCTTCTATCTGCTGTGACATCATCTCTGCGTCCCCTAGAATTTTCACTGGCATCACTCTCAAGCCCCAGCTTGTCCTACAGGGGCAAGACAGACCTGCCAACAGTGAAGTTCTGTAATGCGGCTAATGTGCAATACTCACCGCAGCACCATCCTGCCGGTCTGAACACGTGTGAAAACCTTTCAGCAGAATAATAAGCAGTGGGAGGTGAAAATTACACCCAGAGTGACCACAAGAAGTGCTTCTCAAATGCACAATTGCAAAAGGCGCAGTGTGGTTACAGAGTTCCTTGACAATTAGAAATGGAGTCACTTTTTTTTTTTTAAAGATCAAGCCAAACCTGAGTCTGAAGCAAACCAGCTATCAGGAATAGTCAGTGCATGCAACAGCTGTTCTCTCTAAAAAAAAAGAAAAAAGAAGAGGAATAGTCAGTGCAATGCAAAAGTAATGGGCTTTGCTTTTGTGAGCAGAGTGGAAAGCGCAAACTGTTGGTTTGGCATCAATCTTTTTGACACACACCCAGGTATACAGACACTAATCATGATCAGATTCGATCTTCTGGTTCATTAAATGTCTCTGAGCTGTATCTAATGTCTACCGTCCTCTGGGGAAATAGAAAAGAGTTGGTTGGGTCTTCCATGTACAGGTTCAAAATGAACCTTTATGTTCTAGTATCAATATCATGAGCCTCGTTGGCCTTTCCTTTGGCATCCTGTTGTCAAACTCCTTTAATTTCTTCTCTCTGTAATCCTATTTTATTCACCCCCCCTTCCTATTCACGACATAGTATTCAAAGATGAAAATAAGAAAGAATGTTCAAATATGTCTTCAGGTCAAGTACTGTGTAGTATTATTTTACAGCTAATGCATAATACTGTTTCAATGATATATCGACTTGTGTAAATTTCTCATTGTAATTAACACATCTCTAAATTTGTCACTGTACTTTCTTTTGTGGATAACAGTAACTACCCTTAGTCAATCCCTCTATTATATGTGGTTTTAAAAAGTTTATTATTGTTGTGGCCTAAAAACGTACTTCATAAGCAGAAACATGGGTTATATATAAGTCCCTGGTTATATAAAGAATTTGTATCACCTGATATCCATTAGTACTGCTACTATCAAAAAAAAAAAAAAAAACCAGAAAATAAGTGTGGAAGGGGATACGGAGAGATTGGAACTCTTGTGCACTATTGGTGGGAATGTAAAATGGTGTAGCTGCTACAGAAAACAGTACGGCAGTTCCTCAAAAAAAAGTTAAAGAGAATTACCATATGATTTAGCAATTCTACTTCTGGAATATATATTCAAAAGAAGTGAAGGCAGGGTTTCAAAAAATTGAAAGCAAGATGTATTTGTATGCCCATGTTCATAGCAGCATTGGTCACAATAGCCAAAATCACCAATGTACATCGATGGAAAAATGGACAAAATGTGATTGACACATATAATGAGATATTAATTAGCCTTAAAAAGGAAGGAAATTCTGATACATGCTACAACATGGATGAACCTTGAAGACATTGTGCTAAGTGAAATAAACCAGTCATAAAAGGACAAATACTTTATATGAGGTATCTAGGGTAGTCAAACTCATGGAAACAGAAAGTAGAACGGTAGTTGCCAGGCTCTGAGGAGAGGAGGAAATGAGGAGTACTTGTTTAATGGGTGTAGAGTTTCAGTTTTGCAAAGTTCTAGAGATTGGTTGCACCACAGTGTGAGTATATGTAACACTACTGAACTGTACACTTAAAAATAGTTAGGGTAGTAAATTTCATGTTGCATGTATTTTACCACAATTAAAAAAGTTTATAATAGTTTAAATAAAACAAGACCCATTATACAACAACTATTGTCTTATATCTGTAGCAGGAGATGAGCCAGGCAGAATAGGAAATTCCCAAAGGCCTATTTTAACAGACTAGCCACCACTCCACAGTACTCTCCTCCCCCAAATTGACTTTGGATCTGAGATTCCAGAAGATGCCACTTGGTTGCAATTCTCCAAACTCTGGGATTAAGCCAGGGAAAGAAGCAAACATTTTTAGAAACATAGTGTTTTTATATAGGACAATGGGATTTAGGATTTAGGAATCCCCATTGCAAAGATGAATGCTGAGAAACATTTGTATTCCATAATACCTCCATCCAGTATTGTACAGATGTCTGGACCAACTTCTGTCCATACCGGGGAACAGATGTTCCCTGTTTGTCATTGTTTTCTAGTATGCATAATATGTAACTGGTGTTTTTTTTTTAAATTTCTCCAGCATTATTTGTTTTCCTTTTCTTTTTTGAGAGGTTCTTAGCCCAAGCTTCTTGAAAATTCAAATAAATATATGTCTGCTGAGTTTCCTCTGCCTTGTGTTTTTAAAAATCTTTTAGAGAATCCTTCTTGACAGGTTACAGTGGCTGATCTGACAGGCTTGCACCTGGGCAGGTTCCTACTGGTTACCCAAGCAGGTTACAGCCATCCAACAGTCCATTTTGACAACGATGAGATGCAGGAACCTCACTGATCTGCACTTGACTTTATCCTCAAGTTTGAAGCCAGAAGCCAACCTGACTTTCTGCCTCAGAAATAGTTGCAATTGTTGCAGATAATATCGTATTTCCTTGGTGTTTTGGGCCCAGTTGCGTTTCTTACAGAAACTTGGCTGGCTCAAATCGGTCAGTCAAAAAGCTGATGATGGCCTTTGAAATCACTCTGCAGTTCTCGTCTTTAGATACTTCTAGCTCACTGCCTTTTAAGGACATAGTCTCCCTTGTGGGAAAAACAGAAAACCACATAATGCTCCCAAGACCGTCTGCAAATAAAGGACCCACAGGGAAAAGTTCAGGTGGTTTTTAAGGTCTCACTGTGTTCATTGAGCAGTTTCTGATGACCATCTTTGTAAAACCACCGCAGAGATTTCCGGTGGCCTGGCAGGACCTTAGGACACTGCCCATCTCAGAGAAGCAAAGCAAAGGGCCTGCTGTTTGGCAGTCCTGCATAGGGCCTCCCTTCCCTCTCCTGCTCACTGGGACAGACTGACCGTGATTTCGGCCAAAAGGCCTTTCATGTTAGTTTGGAAATCTAGGTCATGACCTTCATTTTGGGGAAGCCAGAGTGGTACCTGAAATTGTCCAATCCCCCGGCACCGTGGACAACGTCCCGACTTCCCTCGAGATAGCTGTTATGGTGTGAGCTGACCCTCTGTGTGGAGTTCAGCGACAACAGGGGCAGCTCAAGAATTTTTCTGTCAAGAGTTTTAGGTCTGCGAGCCTGGTTGGAATAGGGCAGGTTGGAAGCACTCTTGACTTTGACTTTGATTTTATAACTTATTAGATCTATATGACATGCAATTTTTTAAAGTGCATGCGTGCGAGGGGGCGGGGAGAGCTTCTGGAAACCCCAGGCCTAGGCACGCCCACTCCTGAGTAGAAACCCGCCCAGGTGGAGAGCGCTCCAGAACTCGTGCGGAGCGACAGTCGCGAGGCCTGTGCTCCAAAAATGCCGGCGCTCGGGATTGCGAGTCTGCACTCTGCGGCCTTCAGAGCCCGGATGAGGCGCGGAGCGAGCTTCAGGGTCCCACCTGGCCGCGGGACACGGATCCCACCAGCCTTTGCCCCCGACCTCGGAAGTGGGAGCCGCGGGCGGCGCCAGCCCGCAGGCCGGCCGGCCGGTGTGGGCGGGGCTAAGTCCGGGGCCGGGGCGGAGCCTGCCGTGTGGGCGGGCCTGACGGCGTGGGTGGGGCGGGGCCGGCCTGGGGGCGGGGCCGGCGCGGCGCCTGGACTCCAGCGGGAGGGCGGGCGGCACTAGAGAGAGCTGCGCCCGCCCCGCCCCGCGCGCCGCCTCCCCAGCCCGCGCCGCCGAGATGGCGGAGGACAGCGAGTCTGCGGCCAGCCAGCAGAGCCTGGAGCTGGACGACCAGGACACGTGCGGGATAGACGGGGACAATGAGGAGGAGACGGAGCACGCCAAAGGGTAGGGGCGGCGCGCGGGCGCCCCCAGGCGCGACAGGGCGGGAACCGCGCCCCGCCTCGTGCCTCCCGCTCCGGCGCCGGCTCCCGGGACGCGGGGCCCCTCAACCGCTCCGCCCGCGGTGGCTTCGCTGCGGCGCGCCTCGCGGAGAGGAGGGGAGCGAGGGAGGCGAGGGCCTGTGGGCGGGAGGCGGGGGCCCGGGGCCGTCACCTGCCGCGCGCCTCCGCCGGCCGGCCTCGCCCACCCGCGCCGCGTCCAGGCCCGTGGGGCGGCGCGCTGCCCTGGCCAGCGAGCGGCTCGGTGGGAGCGAGGGGACGCGCGACGCCCTTCCTTTGTGGCGGCGGCGTCCCTGACCGCTGCAGCCCGGGGGTGGGAAGTCGTCCTCTGCGCCCTGGCGTCCTCCTCAGGACCGGCAGACCCTTCCCTTACCCCGCTGCCGGCGCCAGCAAAGAAACGCGCGAAGCCGTTGAGGGGGGGAGTGGCGTGGAGAGGTGCCCGGTGGGCTGGGGCTGCCTGCTGGCGGCCAGGTGCGCAACGTTCCGCCTCCCCAGCGGGCGCGCGGCGCCAGGGGGGTCCCGGCCGGGCCGCTCGTGGGGACGCTCAGCTTTGCCCCCCGCCGAGGGTACGCGCCGAGCTCTCCAGACCAGACCCGACCCGACTGCAACCCGCTTGCAAACCGGGCGTCTGGGCTCCAAAACCAAACGCACGAAGTGTTTCAACACCTGATCAGGTTTCTTAATCCTTCTGCACTTGGCCCCCTTTCCTCCCCTGCAGACTCGATTTACTCTTCTGTTGCAGAAAAGATTGCTTCAGGTTAAAGCTGGTATTGACGTCCTCCGTTTACAGGCAGGGGGTCATTTTAAATCAAGACTGGTGTCCTTTTAAAGTGGTGTTTGCATTACCCTTTTATCCCGTTGGATTCAAACTATGCGCTGGCTGCAGAGCAGTTCTGGCTGCCCCCTTAGAAGTGAGATTTTGCGATTTTGCGAACCCCGGTGACTGATGGAGAGAGGTGTGGGTCATCTTGAAAACAGGATAGGGAGGCCTGACTCACAGATGGTTCATTCAGTTCATGAAGAGATTCTTCAAAGGGTTGATGATCGAAACGTGTAAACCATTTGCATTCTATTTAACGTCTACTGAAGATTTGAGAAAGGAACTTTTATGACCTTTAATGCGTTATAAAATATTAAACGGGAGATCAAGAAAAAGAAAAGCTGATTGCATGTATCTCCCGTTTGCAAGTTGCTTTTTTTTATTATTATTTTTGCAGCGAATACTTAAGTGGCAGCTGCAAGTACCGAATGTTCGAGTCTAGAATATTTTTTTTTAAAGAGAGGAAATTGTACAGAAATCTGAGCCCAAGTTCTGTTGATGCAGTGACAGAAATTTGCCTTTGATAGCTAAACGTAAATGTGTTTTTGAAACAACAGTTCTGTTGCTAGAAATGGGCCCAGATGCAAGCGTGATTGATGGACCACCCAAATAAGTACCTGCCCGGTATCTTTCTAGAGAGACCCAGGATTTCTGTCTTCTCTGCTGTAATTTCTGCTTATCGTTGGTTTGATTGATATTCTAGGTTGAGGGTTTGATGAGAACTTCCACAGTTGACAATGTCCATGGTAGAAAGAATTACTCATCTGTGTGCTAGTTGATCTGGCCTGTCCCCTGACACCTTTCAAGAGTTCGGGTGAAGTTCCTGAAGTAGCACCCAAAGGATCTCTGTGCCTTCACAGTTTTCAGTTTTGTACCTCAGCCCCTTCATTATATATTAGCAAGGTTAATAAAAATTTAGAAATGCCCCATGGACTGAAATGTTTTAACCAAGAGCAGATAACATGATTACAGCTTCTAGTGGGAAGAAATTAATATAATGGGTTTATGGTACTATATTAAAATGTAAGGAGATTAGTAAAAGTCCGAGTTGCTGCTCTTGTTGGACTGCATTTTTGGTTTTGAATTTCGACAGTGTGCCAAATTTGGGGGAATAATTGTGTTTTATTTGGCTCCTGTTCTGATGATATGGCTCAGTAGAAACCTAATTTTCTTGAAGGAGCTCAAGTTTGTAAATGTTAACGTTGTAAAGACTCCTTTTCTGCACTTGGCCTCTTCATTCTCTGCCAGTTTAAACAAGTAACAAATAATAAATAAGCCTTTAGATGAATGGGTAGGTCCACGCTTCACCTTTTAAAGGCAGTGATCAATTTGAAGCCACAACGCAGCTGTCAGTGCACAGAGTGGTAATTTACCCAATAGTACCCTTGTGGCCTAAAAGAATTAATTTGCCCCCACCATTGAACATCCAGGATAATGTATTTACTACTTGTTTTAGACACATTAAGTTGAAACTGGAGCCTCAAATAAAAGGAAAATATCCAATTAGTTTCTTATTTTGCACCAACATGTAAATATTACTGCATATACTTTTATTTTCATAGAATTTTTGTATGGACTAAAAGGGGCATTTCATTTTATGAATAATGCTGACAGTCCATGAATGAAATATAAAATGTTTTACGTTTAATTCAAAGCAGTGGCATAGGTATTATAAAATACTTGACTCTCATGATCTTTTTATCTTATTTTTCATGGAAAATGAGTCTTTGTTTATCCCTTTGGTCCACTCAAGTATGGAAGTGGTATGCCACTATAAAAATCTCATGAATTGCAAAAAAACATGGGGGAGGACTGGGGGGGATTTTCAGTTTTAATTGATGAGACTGTATTCAAAGAAGTATAGTTTTATTATTTTCAAACAATATGTGGCAATTAGAACCAGGCTAATAGAGGATTGCCTAGAAAGTTCTTTTGGATAACTTGCTTTAACACATGATTTGCAATTAGAATAAGTAAGTAGGTCTTTGTAAAGAGTTTGAGGGAGCATGAAAAGATTTTCTATTAACTTCAGCCCAGCTTCCTGTACAAATTATTACAAACAGTCCAAATGACTAAAGGTTTCTGTTCTGCTGTGGGTGGCAATGGTACGAAAGAGGTTACCTGTAGGATGAATTTCACAGTTGGATTTGAAGTTAGGTAGATACTCAAGGATCTTTAATACTCAATCATCTTTGCTCTGTTTGTGCCTTCTGTTTCTTATAAAGGGATTTGGGGAAACCATTGAGGACAGGCAAATTGTTGAAGAATCAGCTGAAACTCGCAATCTTCTTGTCCTTTCCATGTCCATGGGTGACATCTGGGTAGTAGTCGTTATCTCTTATCACATTCAGGATAGTTATTGTCCAGTGTTAGAAACTAAAATCACATAGTTAGCCTCAAATAAAATTAGTGCTTAAGTTGGTAACAAAACCTTGGTTTACTAATGCTGACTTTCAGAATGCATATTCGCTAGACAGATTGATGTTTCTCATCCTTTTCCCACTAGGAGAGCTTTTCCCTGAATATTCACTGTAGTTCACTAGGAAGCAGCTACCAAGAATATTTATATAGGGAATCAAAATAAACATATATGAATATGTCTTTCTTGGCCCATAAATGACTAAATTAATCCCTGGGGTAGATATGAAATGGTTTTAGTATTTAAGGGTAAAGACATTTTTGGGAAATTTTTTTCTTAGAAAAATTAAAGATCTGGTATTAGGCAAAGATGAAAACGTTGGAATTCTTTTAACAAAGAACACAACCTCTCTTCTACCACCCCCCATTTAGGGGGAAAAAAAAGTGAAGTTATTCTCTGTGCAGTATGTTGTTATATCTGACTTTATCTGTCTATTGCTAAGATTGAGTGCGGGAACTTTCCCTTAGTCAACTGTATGGTATCAGTGGGAAAATACAGAAACTTACTATGACTCTCAGTAGGTTTTTCTTGTCATCAGAAATTTAAGGGATAACTCAAAGCTGCCCTTTCTGAAATTTGATATGTTATCAACTGTATAAACCTAAATGAGATCTTTGCCCAAGGGACATCTGCAATTCAAGAAATACAAATTGAAATGATCAAATACCTGCTAAGACTTGCATCTGAATCACCCTTTGGCCCAGAACTAACTTCTCCTAGAGGTTGGCTAAAATACAGAAAATTTCTAAATATAGGACACATACTTTGCCATCTCTGTTTAGTAGCACAAATATATGCTATAAATCTATTCTAGTTAAAATCATTTTAACAGAACCAAGTTCTACTTCAAGTTGGAGAAAGAAATTGACTGGTTTGTTGTTGTTCCATTTGAAAGTATGTTAAGGACTGTTTACTCTTGATAAGAGTAAAATGTGCTTTTTCAAAATTCAGACAATAAAGTATATAAAGGAGAGAGTGAAAACTCCTTGTCATCTTATGTCCTAGAGATGCCACCATTGGCAGTTTAATTAATTCACATTTTAGTATGTGTCTGTATGTTTAACATAAATGGGATCATATTTAACATGGGCTCATTTATTACCTAGTATTTTTCACCATTAATGTCTTCTGGAACTTTCTGGGGTGATAGAAGTCCAGTTTGGTAGTCATTAGTACATGGGACTCTTGAGCACTTGAGCAATCTTTTAATTAATCTAAATTTAAATATCCCTGTGTGGCTAGTGGCTCTGGTATGGGGCAGCTCAGATCATCGTCTGCCTTTGAATTTTGTTTATAAGCTTTCATGGCACTCAAAATATTTCTTTATTTTCCTGCCTTTTGCAGAATATGTTTTCATTCCTCTTTTTTTTTTTTCCTTCTGGGGATTAACTTTACATTTTGAACAAGCATGTTTTATCTATATTTCCTATCAGTGTCAAAAAATAACCACTATCCAAAATATTCTACCACCTCACAAGACAAAAGTAGGATATTTTGCTATCTCCTCCTTTTCATTTCCTAGGTTTGTTGAAATAACCTAGAATTTTTATTCCATGTGGCTTCTTTTCTTTTTGCCCTTGTATCCCTAAAGACTTTTTTTTAATTATTGCATGATATTTCACATCCATGTTATCAGAAACTTTTAGATTTTCCTGACAGCTTTACTGTTTTTATCAGTTACCGTTATTCTTTGCAGAACATACACTCT